TCCAGATCAGAAGGTTGCGTGTTCAAATCTCGGCGGGGTCATATTCTTTTCTTTTCGACGATACTCCAGAACGGAGCCACATTCACCCATGTGATTTAGGCCTGGAAAATTGTACAATTAGTAAACGATCGAATTGTCACTGATTGTTATGTCACAGATATTTTGTTGCTGTCAAAGCAACTTGCCTGAGAAGTCTCATAAGAAAATAATAGAGTAAATATTCCTTAACGTCTGGGCCCTGTGGCGCAACGGTAGCGCGTCTGACTCCAGATCAGAAGGTTGCGTGTTCAAATCACGTCGGTGTCAGAGTCTTTCCTTTTCGACGATACTTTAGAAGGGAGCCACACTTCACTCATTTGATTTAGTACTGGAAAATTGTACAATCAGTAAACGATCGAATTTTCACTGATTTTTATGTCACAGATATTTTGTTACTGTCTAAGCAACTAGCCTGAGAAGTGTCATAAAAAAATAATAGAGTAACGTTAAATCTTGCATTAGCATCTGGGATCTGTGGCGCGACTGTAGCGCGTCTGATTCTAGATCTGAAGGTTGCGTGTTCAAATCACGTCGGGGTCAGATTCTTTTCTTTTCGACGATACTCCAGAAGGGAGCCAGGTTTCACTCATTTGATTTAGTACTGGAAAATTGTACAATTAGTAAACGATTGAATTGTCACTGAATGTTATGTCACAGACATTTTGTTTCTGTCTTAGCAACTTGGCTGTAGAAGTCTCATATAAAATAATAGAGTAAGGTTAAAACATGCGTCTGCTTCTGGTACCTGTAGCACTTCTGACACCAGATCAGAAGGTTGCCTGTTCAAATCACGTCGGTGTCAATTTTTTTTCTTTCCGACGATACTCCAGAAGGTAGCCACACTTCACCCATTTGATTTAGTACTGGAAAATTGTACAATCAGTAAACGATCGAATTGTCCCTGATTTTTATGTCACAGATATTTTGTTGCTGTCTAAACAATTTGCCTGAGAAGTGTCATAAGAAAATAATAGAGTAAAGTTAAAGCATGCGTCAGTTTCTGGGACCTGTGGCGCAACGGTAGCGCTTCTGACACCAGATCAGAACGTTGCGTGTTCAAATCACGTCGGGGTCAGATTCTTTACTTTTCGACGATACTCCAGAAGGGAGCCACACTTCACTCATTTGATTTAGTACTGGAAAATTGTACAATCAGTTAACGATCTGATTTTTCTGTCACAGATATTTTGTTGCTGTCTAAGCAACTTGCCTGAGAAGTGTCATAAGAAAATAATAGAGTAAAGTTAAAACAGGTGTTAACGTCTGGGCCCTGTGGCGCAACGGTAGCGCGTCTGACTCCAGATCAGAAGGTTGCGTGTTCAAATCACGTCAGGGTCAGATTCTTTTCTTTTTCGACGATACTCCAGAAGGTAGCCACACTTAACCCATTTGATTTAGTACTGGAACTTTGTACAATTAATAAACGATCGAATTGTCACTGATTGTTATGTCACAGATATTTTGTTGCTGTCTAAGCAACTTGGCTGAGAAGTCTCATATAAAATAATAGAGTAAAGTTAAAACATGCGCCTGCTTTTGGGACCTGTACCGCTTCTGACACCAGATCAGAAGGTTGCGTGTTCAAATCACGTCGGGGTCAGATTCTTTACTTTTCGATGATACTCCAGAAGGGAGCCACACTTCACCCATTTGATTTAGTACTGGAAAATTGTACAATTAGTAAACGATCGAATTGTCACTGATTGTTATGTCACAGATATTTTGTTGCTCTCTAAACAATTTGCCTGAGAAGTCTCATGAGAAAATAATAGAGTAAAGTTAAACTTCGCATATGCGTCTGGGCACTGTGGCGTAACGGTAGCGCGTCTGACTCCAGATCAGAAGCTTGCGTGTTTAAATCACGTCGGGGTCAGATTCTTTTCTTTTCGACGATACTCCAGAACGGAGCCACATTCACCCATGTGATTTAGGACTGGAAAATTGTACAATTAGTAAACGATCGAATTGTCACTGATTGTTATGTCACAGATATTTTGTTGCTGTCAAAGCAACTTGCCTGAGAAGTCTCATAAGAAAATAATAGAGTAAAGTTAAAACGTGCTTCAGCGTCTGGTCCCTGTGGCGCAACGGTAGCTCGTCTGACTCCAGATTAGAAGGTTGCGTGTTCAAATCGCTTCGGGGTCAGTTTCATTTCTTTTCGACGATACTCCAGAAGGGAGCCACACTTCACCCATTTGATTTAGTACTGGAAAATTGTACAATTAGTAAACGACCGAATTGTCACTGATTGGTATGTCACAGTTATTTTGTTGCTGTCTAAACAACTTGCCTGAGAAGTCTCTAAAGAATATAATCGAGTAATGTGACACTATTTTGCGGTTGCGTGAAAATGAAAAGCGAGAAATAATTAAGGCGAGAAGAAGCTGAAATAATTATTCGTAAGATATCGGATGTTTGGAATTAATTTATGTTATGACGCGGTGAAAGATGATAGCAATCTGCCCATGGCAATAATGAAAATTTCAAATTGGTCAAGTGGCCTAGAAAACAGAAAGCTAAGAGTTAATATTAATAAGTCACGTATTGACCGAGAAAGACATCAGCTGAGGACTACCCCCAAGGAGAGAAGGGAAGCAAGGGAAAAGAGAAAGGAAAGGAATAAACCATTAACTATCCTTCGGAGATATCATTTGGTTTTGGGGAAAACAGCTGCTTTATGTTCAGACTTATCCATGATAAGAGTTTGTTACCTTGACAGATCTTGGCGACGGAAGCACGTAGGCATTAAGGTATTTGACGAAAATCTTGTTGACGAACTCCAGATGAAATTCGGTTAAGATAGAGATTAGGGACCACAACATGAGTCGTGGGAGGTGTGCTCGGTGAAGAAAAAAAAAGTAAGATAATTTTTTTTTCCTTTGAGCGAAATTTTTAAACTGAGGCCAGTCTAGCCCCATCCACGCTGCTGGGCGTTCATTGGCTGAATGGTGTCGTAAGCGGTAGACGAAGGTAAACTATAAGAAACGAGGGGAAACATGTTGACGCCCTCTGAGGGGATTGGTATGAGATACCAATATAAGAAAGGAAGAATTTGGGAGGACGATTCCCTTAAAGTAGAAAGTAATGGACTTCCAAAAATGGAAAGTAATAAATTTTCCTGTGAGAAAACAAAGAAATCCTTATTGTGGATTTAGAATTATCAAGGAACCTCAAACCCCGAAAGCCCACCCCGGTTTTGGTCGGCGTCCATATAAGAAGAGTCGCAGCGAGTTAGCCAGTAGTTGGAAAGTCAGAGAGAAGTTAGTTGCAGTTTAAGCTGTTGAGCTCTGAGACCAGCCTCGCAGGAAGCTGACCGAAGATCACGCATCCCGACTTCAACTTCTAACCAAAAAGAATTTGTTTTTGAAGGACGACTTAGACTCACACCACCCAAACAAGTTTTACGAATATCGCCTGAAGATACAAAAAAAAAAAAAAAAACAGTTTCTTAAAAAAACAACTTAAGATGTTAAGACTCACCTAACAAACACAAAGTGTCACGAATCCATATTAGTGGTTTGGAAGAAAGATGCAGTCCTGTATTCAGAAACCAGATATAAAATATTATTATTTTTTTAACACATTTGAACTTTTCGAGTTGTTACTTTATTTTCTTTTACATATAGTTGTGCGGTGTTACCTTTGCTCAGACTCGGCTTGCATTGCGGCCCGGCGACTGATTGATTTCGTCTACCAAAGATCAAATCACAACGTGGGTAGGTTAGACTAGAAATCAAAGCAGTTACTTCGGTAACCAGACGTTGGAGGCGAGCTGGGAACGACAAAGCTGATACCGAATCTAACCAGATTCCCATCCGAATCAGCAAAAGGTTAGAACGTCAGATTTGGTGCTGTGACCAATACCAAGTCACATAGGTCGTCACAGGATAGCACGGCAGCGGGCGCGGAGAGAGGCCGGGGTGACGTCACAGTAAAGTTAAAACTTGCATTATCGTCTGGGCCCTGCGGCGCAACGATAGCGCGTCTGATTCCAGTTCAGAAGGTTGCGTGTTCAAATCACGTCGGGGTCAGATTCTTTCCTTTTCGACGGTACTCCAGAAGGGAGCCACACTTCACCCATTTGATTTAGTACTGGAAAATTGTACAATTAGTAAACGATCGAATCGTCACTGGTTGTTATGTAAAGATATTTTGTTGCTGTCACAGAAATTTGCCTGAGATGTGTCAAAAGAAAATAAAAGAGTAAAGTTAAAACTTGCATTAGCGTCTGGGGCCTCTAGCGCAACGGTATCTCGTCTGACTTCAGATCAGAAGGTTGTGTGTTCAAAACACGTTGGGGTCAGCTTATTTTCATTTTGACGATACTCCAGAATGGACCCACACTTCACGTATTCGATTTACTACTGGAAAATTGTACAATTAGTAAACGATCGAATCGTCACTGATTGTTGTGTCATAGATATTTTGTCGTTGCGTTCCTTGGCGTCTAGTCTCTGTGAGGCAACGGTAGTTCCTCTTCTCAGTCGGAATGTTTCCTGTTCAATCACATCAAACTCTTTTTCATTTCTTTTTTTTTTTTTTTTTTTTTAAGGTTAAATGAAAAATGTCTTTTAATTGTCAGGCAAATTTAAAGTAATTCGCGATACCCAATGTTTAAAACAATTTTTAAATAATCAAAGGACTTTCTTGTAATTTTCATTTTAGCTTTAATTAAAATCTAAATGATTACATTTTTTCTTTCCATGAAGCAAAATAATCTCTTTACTTTTATGTTATATACCGATGTACCTATGAACACTAACGGGTATGTCCTAATCCTCATAAATACATTGGACACTATTGTAAGTGAGAGTAAGATGCTGTCTAAATAGTTGTCCACTTGCAGTGGTTTACCTAATTTACGCCACTGGCGAGCATTGTATTTTGTTGATGTTATAAAGATTACCATTTCATTTCCTACGTTCCGTTTGGTTATTCTTCATTCAGTAACCTTTCCTGGGTTATGATAGATAGATAGATAGATAGATAGATAGATAGATAGATAGATAGATAGATAGATAGATAATGAGCTGAATGTCATTGTGTTATATATCCTACCTATGGACACTAATGTGTATCCTCATAATATAGATAGATAATGAGCTGAATGTCATTGTGTTATATATCCTACCTATTGGACACTATTGTAAGTGAGGATAATATTCTGTCTAAGTATCCCTCCACTAGCAGCTGTCTGCATACTTCTCGCCGCTGGCGAGTATTTTATTTTGTTGATATTATGCAGAATACCATTTCTTTTCCAACCTCCGTTTTGCTTATTGCGCATTCACTAACCTTTTCTACGTTACAACAATATAATTTTAAAAAAGTGGCGTGAACGCTGTTTTTATATAATTTTAAATAGTCAGCAGTCCTAAAAATGTTGGAAAATATTCTCCGTAATCTAATTTTAGGAATGTTGATTTTAAATTTGCTATCGTCATCGCTCTTATTTTCTGATATAGTCGCCTATACTTTAAAAAATGAGCACATTTATGACCATAAAAAAAAATTTGAAATTCTTTTAAAAATCCTGGAGCTTGAAAACTGGTATTAAGCTTTACCATTTTATGTAAATATAGTTTTCTTTTAATAATAATATAAAAAAAGATTAAATTAATATTAGTTTTCACTTAATAATAATAGAAAAAAGCTTAAATTAATACAGAATTTTAAAAGATTAAAACTTTATAAAGTTTCCTAATTAAAATTTTTGATAAAATGAAAAAATTCTTGTAAAATTTCATTATTCAGCGAAATTTTTTTAAGACAATAGTGTCTATAATATAATTTATTTACAAAAGTAATTAAAAGATTTTCTCATTAAATAATGTCATAGTTTTATTACATTTTTTAGTTTACCATTCGAAGCAGATTTTCGGTAAAAATAGTAAAAGCTTGAAAAAAGAAAATTGGATGATTTACATTCTCCAAGGAATCCCACTTTTAACTAATGGAAATAATTTTGGAAAGGAAAAGAAATTACTCGAAATTTCTTAAAATTAAGTAGCGGGTAACATATGTAAAAAAAATATTTTTTACCAAGAAAACAAAAAATTAAAAAAAAAACTTAATTCATTTGTGAATAAGTCATGAAAGTTTAAGATCCAAAAATTATTTGATTTTTGCAAGAATGTCCAAATCAATGCGTTTTTACCGGAGAAAAGCGCAAAAATACTTAATTGTAAAACAGGTTTTTTAACCAAAATTTCGAACGTGTATAAAAAAATTTTTAAAAAATAATTAAAAAAATGCGTTGATCTTTCCTCTTAATAATTACATCAACACTTTGGTGATAAAACTTTGTTTTTATTAAGTTTGGAGCTTTTTTTCATCATGCATCTCTTGTTTTTTTTCTTCTGTTTTTTTTTCAGCGAAAAGCGGAGGTGCCTAAATAAAACCATATTTTCCACATTACTGGCCCTGTGGCACAACGGTAGCATGTCTGACTCCAGATGAGATGATTAAGGATTCAATTCACGTTGAGGTCGGTAACAGTTTTAAACATTTAATATTGAAGTTAATTATACGGATATGAAAAATACAAAATAAAATCTCTCTCTCTTTTTTTAAAATTTATTTTATATATATATATATATATATATATATATATATATATATATATATATACTAGCAGTAGAGCCAGGGATGTAAAAGAGATAGATCAAGTATCGACCATCATAAAGACTGAAAAATAAAATTGACAAAGATTATTGTTTAAGGTTGACAGACACACATGTCTTAATTAGTTTTTTTTTTGTTTTTTTTACGAATTGGTCAAACCCAAACTCAAACAAAAACATTGTTTTCAATCGTTATGAGTCTACCGATTGAATAGAATTTTTCAATTTTATTATAAACAATAGTCTTGTAAATGGAATTTTTAAAGTATTCTGAATGTAAAAATAAAGAAAAAAGTGTGCAAGACAATAAGAAACACTACCTGCCAAAAAAGAAGTGAAGTTTTGTTGAAATCGGTTGAAAAATGTAGGACATCCGATCCCATATATAAACGAACACACACACACAAACAACCTGGGTTTTATAATAAGTAAAACTCGATATGAGTTGTCCCCCTTTCATCCTGGCGACAGAATCGTGTTTTCAAATTGATTTCGTGCAAAAAACAATTTGTTTTTCAATTTTTGGCGCTGTCAGAACCACCGCAAGGTAATTTTACGTAGTCCTGTGAAGTTTTATTTGAAATCGGTTGAAAAATGTAGGAAATCAATCAATATATAAACGTACACACACACACACACACACACACACACACACACACACACACACACACACACACACACACACACACAACCTGCGTTTTATAATAAGTAAGATATATATATATATGTACTGTATATTTCCACGTACAAAATGACCTTTAAATCCTCAAAATCACACTTAAAAATTGGGGGTCGTCTTATACTACAATTCTAAAAAGAAATCTTAAATTCTGAGTGTTGTTTGTCGGTAGGCTAACCTCGGCCACGGTGCGATAACCAATAACATACAGGAAAAGATTCACATTACCAAATAAACTGATGATAACAATAATAAAACCATTTCTACCTTATATATTACTGGCATAACTTCATAATAAATTGCAAATTCAAGGAATAATTCCATATCAATGAAACCAACTTGGATCCATATAAGCTCAGCGGAGAAAATGTAAACATCGAGTTATGATTGCGAATAAAAAAGTTGAAAGTGGAATATACTGTTATTAGCGGTATTTTGTGATTGTAAATGAAGTATAAGTAAATAGCCATTAGTACACTAGGTTGTTTGTAACTATTTAGGAAAAGAAGAGGAAGAATCAGAAGAATCAGTATTCGTAAGAGATCACGTGATGAAACGTAAGCAAAACGATGGTTTCTCTTTTATGGGACGTGTGTCAGAATAACATGATATAGAATCGGGTTAATTATTTCTTTTATTTTGAATTTCTAAGGATACAGTAAATAACAACATTTTCAATATCGTCATTAATCAATGAACAGTTGGCTTGTAACTAGAGGTATAGGATAAATTCATGAAAATTTGCTATTTTTTAATTTCATTTTATCTAAAGGTCTCCTTTATATATATATATATATATATATATATATATATATATATATATATATATATATATATATATTGTTACGTGTTGATAATTGTAACCAAGGAAAAAATGATTTACCACAACACAGAGCTAAATCACAAACAAATATTTAATTTACTAAAACAAAACATAAAATATATACAAGATAAACAATTGTGGCCTACAAAACAGAAAACACAGAGTTACTGGCGAAGTGTTACGAGGGAGAAGGAAAGGGAGTCAAATATCTTTATCACTTTAGGGCTAGTGAAGTAATCTAAGTGCTATATTTGGAAATCCACAAAGGTGGTGTAAATAAATATTAATTTTTTAGTTTGGTCAATGAAAATTAGTCAAAATTCTATTTATCAAATTTGTTCCATGAAATTCTCTTTTGGGTTTTGGTTGGTCGGCAACTTTTTATAGAGATGCTTTCGGCTGGATATAATAGTCATTGAATCAAAAGCCGGAGTTGATAACAACAGAAATTCCCATTCATCAACGTTATTTATTTCTGTAAAATACAGAAAATGTGGCACAAGGCCGAAAAGGGGGAGGGGCAAAAGGACGGTCATCATCTGTCTTAATTAATAACTTAGCTAGCCACAACCACTGACCCAATCATACAAGACAATAATCCTAGCACCAAAACCACACATTCATACTTACCTTTCTTACTACATTCACCAAAATACCTCATTGTCTCAATGAACAACCTAACTAGACCCAGTATGTACAAATCTTTGTCTGTGTGGGAGGGGAATAAAAACAACAAGCTAAAAAAACCCCCAATGATATATATACAGAATGATAAACTATTTTTACAGGAAACTAAACAAAATCGTGTTAGTAATAAAACCCCTCACAAACCTTAATTGTGGCAGAAAATTCAGTAAACTGGACGAAATCGATGCGGGGCTTTAAGAAAATAGAAAACCATTCATTCATCCCAAGCACTCACACAGACATGCACTCAATCTGACACAACAACAAATACGAAAAAAAAACACACACGCGAAACGAAAAGCGCCCCGCACCCACCAGAGAACTGAAATCACTAACCACCTAAACGAGGGAGGGATGGGGAGTTAAACTAAAAAGAAAAAAAAGGGACAGAAATAAAAGGGGCCAATGAGCAAACATACCTAGCTAAGTTAACTGAAAAAGAAAAACTAAAGCATCAAAAAACCTAACTTCTAACCTAAACCAGGGAAGGGTTGCCCAAGTTCAACCCAGTAAAACAATATCCTGATGCCTAACCGGCATCAAAATGCCACTCCAGGTCAGCCCCTTTTACACGACACAAACGCGCAAGATTCACCCAACTTTTGCTGAATTCTGATGAGGTGAGTCGCCGCCTTTCCGTTCTAATCTTGACTTTAAGCTGATGCTTGAAGTACAAGATCAGTTGGGAAGAAGTGAACTCGCCCTCATAGAATCCCTTCTGACGCGTCGTCCAAATCACGACTCTCATAACACCTAGTAAGCAAAAGAACACATAATGTTCAGCCTTCGTCATCTGCGGCACCACATTGCTACAAACAGAACTGGCCTCAAGGACAAAGAACTTTCCCTGCAGCATGCGGACAATGAGGCCTTCAACAAACTTGCACAACGGCACTACCACCCTGCAATGAAAGAAGGCGTGACCAATGGTCTCGACTTCCCCCGTACAGCGACGGCAGTTTGGAGATTTCTCCAAACCCGATGAACAAAGTCTTTTGCCGACCCAGAGGGCCCCACGAATCACCAGCCAGGTGAGTGATGCCTCATCGTTAGTGAGGCATTTCAACCCGGGCGCCCAAGGCCATATCGAGCGAGCCTCCTGCTTCGTAAGCCCGAGCTCGTCAATCAGATCATCCTGAATGGCCCCCCTAACTAACACTTGATACAATGCCCGACGAGACAACGCCTGAGCTTTGGAGAGGCCATCCGTCGCTCGTA